AATTCTATGGACCAAAAATTTTGACAATGAACAGTGGAGATGGCTTGCTTCTTCTCACAGTATTGGAGGTCTAAGCTAGAAAGCAAGATGTTGAGGACTGTAATCATCATAAAGCTGTTAGTAGACAGTAGCTATTGGTTGAAAACTTACCCATGGCTGTTGGCCAGGCCATCAGAAAAATATAGAGACAAGCAAAAAGTCTAATAGGTGAGAAATGGTATCTTAGCGTAGTTTTAACCTGTATTTCTTTTATTATATGCAAGGTTGATAATTATTTTTATGTTTAAGGATAATTTTTACTTATTACTTATATCTCACTCTTTTCTTTTAGAACCTATTAATATCTTCCTTGTCTTACTTTTAGAATCTTTTTATATACTTTTAGAATCTGTTTATATTAAGTCTATTAGTGACATTATTTGCATATATGTTTTCTTATTTTACCATCTGTTTATACAGGAGAAATCACTTTCTTTTTTAATGTTTTCACTTACCATTTATTTCCCTTACATTCTCTGAAATTTTAATCATGGGCAATTTTTCTTCACTTTCAATGGAGAATGTACTCATATTTTCTTCTTGTTATGTGTATGACCTAGCTTTTGCTATGTGACAAAGCATCCAACATTGAGTGGCTTAACATCAGTTGATAACTTTTTTTTCTCTAAAGGGCCAGAATGTAAGTATGTAAAGCTTCGTAAGCTCTATGGTCCATATTTTGGACTGCTCATCTCTGTCATATTTTGCTGACTCCTGCTCTCTTCCAACACCTTGGTTTTACAGATAGGGAATGTGGCATTATGCACATGCTTACTAAAGTTATTTGCGTTTTAGATGAAAGGACACAGGAGACTGAGCCATGAGCAATGGAAAACACCAGAAGAGAGGATTATGCTCCAAAACCAGAATAGTACAGTAAACTGAACTCATCTTTAAAGACACAAAGTCAATTAACTGTGAAATCACTACTATGAATAAAATCTGAGTACCTCTCTAAATAAGGAAATACTATTCTTCAATAATGCATAAAGTAGAATAACAAAATTTCAAGACTTTTAAGATTGTAGAATTTATACTGCTTATGTAACTGAATTTATATTAAGTAATAAATATATTATAAAAATAAAGGAAACGTATTTTTGTTACTAAGCCTGAATAAAATAGGTTTACAGATTTTAAAGTGGTCATTAAATTTGAACGTATTATGAATCTATTGCTTAATACATTTTTCCATAAAGCAAAGTTACACCAAATATGTAAAACTAACAATGAAAGACAAAAAAATCACATGTGCTATTTTTGAAGTAAAATATAAATAAATTTAAACACAAAATTTGATAAGAAAGAGGAAGTGTGTTAGCAATATATTAGAATGAATAATTTTATAAATATTCTATAAATGTTGAATTTGGAAAGACACGTTTCTGGCACATATTTTGAAAAATAATCATAATATATTTGGGAAAAAGAGCTGTGCTATAAATCACATAAATAGGACATAATTCCAGATTATTAGCTTTCACAGAGGAAATTACTCTAAAAATTATCTTAGAAGAGAGCATAGAAAACTATTTAATCTGAAATCTTTATTTGTTTCTAAAAGCCTAACTAGTCATTTCTGAATGCAACCAAAGCATTCAGAAACTATCATCTTTTAAAAAAATCATAAACAATTTCTATGATAGAGGGATTACTGTCTACATCTATTCTTTAGTGATAGTGTGTATTTTTGTTTGTGTGTTCGTGTATGTAGAGAAAGAGGGAGAAAGAGAAAGAGGAGTTATGTAATTCTCTTTGATAAACTGACTTTTTTTTTTTTTTTTTAACACTGTGATTCTAAATCTGGTAGTTCTGTAAATTTCTATAATGGTACCTGTATTTTCTCAACTGGAAATAATGTCAAGCTGCTCTCACAAGCTGAGAATTGGCCCAGTTAAATTCGTAGTCAGTAATAACACTTAGCACTGTGATTATTATACCTTATGATCCATACACAGTCATTAAATTTCAGTTTATATGATAATCTTGGTGTTAATGGGAAATACTTCAGTCGATTTAATTTTTCTCTTCCATATTGAGAAAGACACTAATACCAAGGTTTATTCTGATTATTCACAGTGACTAAAATTATAACTAATTTTGATAGAATAGATAGCTCCCCAACTTTGGCTCATTTTTCCTAGGGAAAAAGCCTTTGGTTGAATGTATTATCTCATGGAAAAAGTAAGACCTAATGGATACCTTAAGACATGCTTCTCTCTTATTTGCCAATGTCATGATCTTTCTGTAGGGTATATCAAGAACTCATAACGCCAAACATAATTTACATGGATGATGTGTATATTTGTTTAAATAAAGGGACCCACTATTATGTGGACTTTTGTTTGAAGTAACTATGAAATAATACAAATTAACAAAAACTTCATCAAAAATATTTATATTATAAAACAACTTTGTTGCCATTCCACTTATACTACAGTTGCTAAAAACATTATTTTTAGTATTACCTTTAATGTCTACCCAGTGGTATATGGGAGCTGGCTGGCACTAGCTCAAGTTATTTGCATTCACCACTTTCCAACTCTGTGTTTGTGAATACTCCATATTGGGAGCTTAAAATTCGCATTTGTAGGAGTATATATACCTCAGAAATAAATTGTCAAATGCTGCAAATCAAGGGTCTCCAACCAATGGAGATCCCATTGTTAATAGTTAATATTGACTAATAGTCATAGTTAATATGACCCATACCATACCACTGGGCCAACTCATGTGTTTCTTTTTAGATCAATCTATTTTATTTACCTATATTTTTCTCCTTTCCTGGTTTTCCAAATTTGTTTTATTGTATTCTGTTTTGTATTTTCAATGGGTGCATTCTGTGCCAAGCCATTTATTTAGGGTATATGTACTAACAGATTTTCTTACTTTTCATTTATCTGAGAATGTCTTGCTTTCCTCTTCTTAAAGGATATCTTTAAAGGATATCCTTAAAGGATATTCTTAAAGAATATCTTTACTAGAGATAGAATTCTGGAATGAAAGGCACCTGGATGGCTCAGTCAGTTGAGCATCGGACTTTGGCTCATATCATGATCTTGCATTTGTGGGTTCAAGCCCAACATTGGGCCCTTTGCTGACAGCTCAGAGCCTGGAGCCTGCTTCTGATTCTGTCTCTCTTTCTCTGCCCCTCCCCTGCTTGTGCTCTGCTTCTGTCTCTCAAAAAATAAAATAAAATGTTAAAAAATGTTTAAAAATGAATACTGGAATGATAATTATTTTATTACAGCATTTGTACAGCACCATGTCATTTTTTTCTGATTGACATGGTTTCTGATGAAATTATCTGCTGCCATTTGAATTACATTTTCCCCTCTCAGAAAGATACTATTTCTTCCTCACCGCTTTCTCAAATTTTGTATGTGCCATTTGTTTTCAGATTAATTGTGATAAATCTTGATGTGGATTTCATCGGAATTATCCTATGTGAGTTTCATAAGCTCTCAAATCTGTAAGTTTATGTCTGCTGGTAAATTTAGGAAATTTTCAGCCTAATCTCATCTTCTCCTTCTCGGACATCCATAATACAAATATTAGATCTTTTGAGATAGTCTTCTGGGCCACTGAAGCCTGTTTATTCTTTTATAAAGTCTATTTTCTGTGTTATTTGGGCTGGTTAATTTCTTTTTTTAATTTCTTTTTATTTTTTAAAATGTATTTCCAACAGAGAGAGACAGGGTCTGAGTGGAGGGGGGCACAGGGGGAGACAAAGAATCAGGAGCAGGCTCCAGGTTCTGAGCTGTCAGCACAAAGCCCAATGTGGTACTCAAACTCATGAACTGTGAGACCATGACTGGAGGCAAAGTCAGATGCTCAACTGACTGAGCCACTCTGGTGCCCCTCAGAAGTGATGTCATGGATACTCATGTGTCCATGTTCATGGCCAATCTGTTAATTTGAGAATAGAACGTTGCAGTCAGAGTGTTAGTGATAGGCTCAAATTATGTCTTAACTCATACATGTGATGATAATGTGTTGATTTCTGTTTCTTTTTTTATATGTGTGAGGAAGTAGATAACTCTCTACTTTTTATTCATAATAAGAATATTGAAGCTTTGGTAATTCTATGACATACTATCATCTCTATAATCACATTTTCTCCTCCTGTTCTTAGTTCTTATCATTTCAGTGGCAGCTCCGTTAGCTGGATCAATGGATGGAGGGAATCACTTGATTATGTTTGAGCGTGCTTGACTTTGTGTTTCTGGGACTCACTCATTCATGGGAGATCCAGCTTTTCCTCCTGGTGTTCTCCTCTGTGGTCTATATGGCAAGCATGACTAGAGACATCCTCATTGTGTTTTCAGTAACCATTGATCTTCACTTACATTCCCTCAAGTACTTCCTACTGGCCAGTCTCTCTTTCATTGACTTGGGAGCCTACTCTGCCACTTCACCCATGATGATTTATGACCTTTTCAGAAAGTGCTAAGTCATCTCCTTTAGAGGCTGCATTGTCCAGATCTTCTTCATCCACGTCATTGGTGGTGTGGAGATGGTGCTGCTCATTGCCATGGCCTTTGACAGATATGGTGCCATTTGTAAGCCTCTCCACTACTTGACCAGTGAAAACCCACGAATGCGTATTTTGTTTCTGGCTGCTGCCTGGGCCCTTGGTGTCAGTCACTCACAGTTCCAACTAGCATTTATTGTTAATTTACCCTTCTGTGGTACTAATGCATTGGACAGCTTTTACTGTGACCTTCCTTGGCTCCTCAGACTGGCCTGTACAGATACGGACAGATTGCAGTTCATGGTCACTGTTAACAGTGAGTTTATCTGTGTTGGTTCGTTCTTCATACTTTTCATCTCCTACATCTTCATCCTGTTTACTTTTTGAAAACATCACTCAGGTGGCTCATCCAAAGGCGTTTCCACCCTGTCAACTCACACTGCTGTGGTCCTTTAGTTCTTCAGTCCAACCATGTTTGTCTATACATAAAAATATGGAATGCTTCCTGAATTTGTGTGTCATCCCTGTGCAGGGGCCAGGCTATTCTTCTCTGTATCATTCTACTTTTAGTATATGTACTGCCAAAGTGAGCACTGACTTGGTTAATTTCTATTGTTCTTCTTCAAGTTTACAGATTATTTTCTTTGCCTTCTTTCTTCTGCTATTGAACCTATCCCTTGAGATTTTTATTTGATTACAGTATTTTTCAGTTCTAAAATTGCTTTTTCTATCTTCAATTTCTTTCCTGAGACTTTCCATTTTATATTTATTTCAAAAATGGTTATAATTGCACATTGAAGCATTTGATATGATAGTTGATTTAAAATGTTTTTCAGATAATTCTGACACCTGAGTTGTTTCCAAGTTGGCATATATTGGCCATACTTTCTCATTCAAATAGAGACTTTCCTGATTTATAGTTTGATGAATGATTCTTCCATGTTCTGGATATTTGGGGTATTATGGTTGAAAAATTGGGTCTTATTAAAATCTGTTTGAGCAATTCTCCTAGGATAGTGTTCCATGGAGGGAAATGACAAGCAGAGGTGAGAGTCCAGAGCCTTCATTCAGCCTCCTTTGATACCACAGGGGGATAGAGGGTTCCCCATTACTGCTGGAATTTCAGGCTTTGCAATAAATATCCACTGACATCATCTAAACTAGGAGGGAGAGGAATGTGTCATTGTTCCCCATGTGGCCTCCACTGACATGACAGGGAATAGATAAAAGTCCGGAATCTCCTCTGAACCTTCTCTGACACCTCCAATGAGGAGAAGGGATGCTCTGTTGCTATTCGGTGGCGGTAAAGACTAGGTTCCTCACAGATTCTCCACTGGCACCAGAAGGGAGGAGCATATTACTTCCAAGAAGGGATAAATATCCTGAATTCCCACTGCATTTAGCCTTCTCTGACACCACTCTGCCAGAGAGTAGGTGGTTAGGAGTTTCTTATAATAGTCTGGTAAGGACGGAAGTCTAGTCTCCCCACAGTCTTTGCTGATGGGAGTGGGAGTAACACTATAGTATTTTTCTTTGGTATTTTTCTGGAATAGTATGGTCGCTGCCTGAAAGCTTTATATCTTCCTTGGCCATCACTTTCCTGGTCATTGAGCTGGAGAAAGTAAGATTTTCATGGGCATTTTGGCTTATGGGCATTGACATTTCCAGGTTACTGACTTCATCATCAAGTCTGGGATAAATAAGGCAAAAAAGGAAACTCAGGAAAGTCACTGCTGTGTCATTCTTGATTACCCCAGTTTCTAACAGCCTGCCTCCTCTCCACATTTCAGAATCTTCATATTTATTTTGTATATATAGTTTCTAGGATTTTTAGCTCCACTAACTAGGGAAATAAGGAAAAGTCTGACTAGTTCACGTTGTCTAGAATCATTTTCATCCGACTTGCCAAATCCAGCTAATTTGCAGGCAAGTGTGTGTGCTTGTCTATGTGCATGTGTATGTGAAAATGTTATTCAGATGTAAATCTGATGTATTGACACAGAGAATAAAGTGGGAACATGTCTATGAAGCAATATCAAATACAGAATTTTTCAAAATGGCTTGAGATATGACAACATTACTTGAAAAATGTATTATTTGGTAATTACTTTTTTAAGAATCACAATATTCAGAGGCATTTGGGTGGCTCAGTAGGTTAAGCATCTGACTCTTAATTTCAGCTCAGGTCATGCTCTCACAGTTAATGAGTTCAAGCCCCACATCGGGAAAGTGCAGAGCTTGCTTGGGATTCTCTCTCTCCCTCTCTCTCTGACCCTCCCCAACTTGGTCTTTTTCTCTCTCTCTCTCAAAATAAATAAACTTAAGAAGAATCACAACATTCATTTAAGTGTTTAGATTGTGTATTATAAAATATTATTAACTCATTGCTCTAAAAATCTCTAAGCAACTTAATTATTTTAGAGTTTTTGACTTACAAATTCACAATTTTGTGAAGGCCTTCTTAACATTTATATGGTCCCTAGTTATGAATCTTTTGCTATAGGAACACTCATCCTTAAAATTTTATAATGTAAAGAGAATGATATCTTCACAACTATATTAGTCACTAGTTACTAGGAGGAACCAGAGTAACAGAACTGAAGTTTTGAGTTCTTGAATCATATTGGCTAAGTATTTGGTAGAATATTTGTCTCCTATCAGAATGACGTTGAGGAAAATCCTTAAATTTTCCTTCATTCACTGCCTAATCTGAAAACATGAAGATAAAAACACCCCCAAATGATTTATAATTATATATAAATAAGATAATATGTATAAATCCCTTAGACAAGTTACTGGTATGTAGAAAACACTCAGCAAATATCAGCTACTAATAAACATTAACTATTAATGTTATTAAACTTAAATATAAGCCAGGTTGTTTTCATATAACCTACATTGAATAAATAGTTTTATTCAAAATTATACCCTTGTCAAATGAAGACATTATCAGAGAATGTATATTCCTGAACAGTGTTTTTTCAGTATTTTTACTTTCTTTATTCTATAGTGTAATCTAGATCAAAGAATAGAGATATAAATGTGAGTAGATTGCTTTATTTTTCTCATTTTATAGTAAAATGGTTACAATTATTAGGTGCTTATTAAATGCTAGAGGTTCTTCTAAGTGCTCTTTATGGTGCTATTATCTCTATTGTGCAGGTTAGGAAACTGAGGCACAAAAAATGTAATGACAAAAAGTCACATAGCTATTATGAAGTGGAATTTGTTTGCTACAGAGCTCATATTTTTGAGCAGCACATTGAATCTTTTGTATGTAACTTTACTAAAATCTTAAATCATTTAAATTATAAATCAGGAAAACATAATTATATATGAATTTAAATCATTACCATATCATACTACACAGCACAACCATTCTCATTGGAGTAAAATACAAAATTCTGAGAAATCAACACAAATGGAGATTATTACATGTATTTAACCCATCAATGAAACAGAAGTGTAGCAAAAATTGTCAAATTTGAAAACCATTCTCTTTATAATAAAAAAGGCAATTGTTAAGATTTTCAAATAAAACTATGAATTTCAAGAAAATAATCATTTCTTATTTTTCTATATTTATATATACAAATTTATATGTATATACATGTCCATATATACTATATCCTTAAAAAATACAACAAAATTACTATTGCTATCTATAATAATTTTTATTATTTATAATAATTATTATTTATGATCATTATTATTCATAATAATTTTGTTGCATTTTAAAGACATAGCCAGAATAATATATATAAAATATTATATTTTACGTGTATTTTACAATGTACCTGAAAAAATAGTGTTCTCTTGTTTATTTCTAACTTGTGAACCTAGAGTGACTACAAGTTACCATTGTATTTCATTACAGATATGTAGACCTTAAAAAAACAAATATATATAATTTTAATGTTATTTTTAATATCCATTTATTTTTGAGAGAGGGAGAGACCAGAGTGCAAGTGGGGGTTAAGCAGAGAGAGAGGGAGACACAGAATCCAAAGCAGTTTCCAAGCTCTGAGCTGTCAACACAGAGCCAGATGCAGGGTTCAAATTTATGAGCCAGGTCAGATCATGACCTGAGCTGAAGGCAGACACTTTAAGCAAATGAGTCACCTAGGTGCGTCTTCAATTTTTTCTTACGTTTAGTATTTAAACTTACCTAAAATTTATTTTTTCACCAATTTCCAGTGAATATGGAAATCTACACAGCAATCTTTTTGAGGGCCTTAAAATTTTTCTCTCATGTAATAAACTATTTGTAGGAAAAAATAAAAAATTAAAAAAAAGTTTCCCTCATGTACAATTAGGTAATTAGAATTGAATATAACTTTCATCATAATATTTCACGAAGTTGTATTAGCTTAGTATATCAGCAGTACAAAATATTAATTTTGACAATTGCTAATTTAATTAATGTGTCATAGTTAAATTACCTTGTTTAAAAGTAAAAATGTTTTTATTCAGTTATTCTAAGATTTGAATTACATTTGTTTTAAGAAGGAAGAGATACTTTAGAGGAAAAAAATAATTTTTTAGGGAAAAAAATTTTTAGAGAAAAAAATTTTTTCTATTCTTATTTTGTGTTGTGTGTATAGTATCTATTTTATATATTTCAAGAAATGACACTGAGTTTGGAAAACCATCAAAATATGAGAAAAGAAATCAAGTACAGAGCTATGAAAATCCATTTCACATGAGCACCATCATAACAATACTGGCATTAATATGGTAGTGATGGAGAATAAAAAAAAAAGCCAAGAGGATATTTAAAAGGTTGAAGATTGAAACAGAAGATTTTTTAAATGGTGCATATTTTGGGGGCATCTGGGTGGCTCAGTCAGTTAAGCATCTGACTCTTGGATTTGGCCCAGGTCATGATTTCGTGGTTTCCTGAGTTCTAACCCTACACTGGCAGCACAGGGCCTTCTTGAGATTCTCTGCCCCTCCCACTCACACTGTCTCTATCTTTCTCAAAATAAATAAATAAATAAATAACCTTTAAAAAATAAAAAATAAAATGATACATAGTTTTAAGTGGCCTAGTCCAACATCTTGGTTTTACACATAAGAAACCTGGTGCTGGGTCTGGTTTATTATGGTGTTGGTTTAACAGTAAATGTTATCCTTCAAATTGTTTATCTATGCTCATCCAATTACTGATTTCTTTTTCACTTTGACAATGTCTATGCTGCACAAGAAGAGGTTGTATGGAACTGGATTAAGAAAAACAAAGCCTCAAACAGACTACTTGGAAAAAAATAAGATTTTCCTTGTAACATCTTCCACCTCTATGTATGCAAGAGTGGCGGCAGAGAGGGAAGTTACAAGTTTGATACAAGTCCAAGTGAGTGGTGATACTGGCCTGCATAGTAGTGATACAGATTATATGGAAAGAAGGGATGGATTTGAGATGCAGTCTTGAGGTGGAAGGGGCAAATTTGCTGACACAATTAGATGAAGGGGAATTAAGGAAAAGAAAGAATCAAAGATGATAGGCTTCTCACCTCTGACATGAGCCATTAGACTACTTGCTAAGACAAGAAGCCTGTAAGTGGAATAGTTTTGGCAAAGGGAAGAGCTCAATT